GGGGGGGGGGGGGGGGGGGGGGGGGCGGTTTGCGTCTCGTTCTTTCTTAAGCTTGCTTGTGGCAGTCCGTTTCTGACGTTGTTTGGTGCTTCTGGCCGGTGGTTGACTTCCGAGTGCCGATTGACATGGCGCTCGACGTTGTCCGGATCGCTGACTGTTGTACTGCTGTCGACAATCATCATGGGGGTCGGGGGATGTGACATCATGATTCCCGTCCGCAGTACAGCGAGCAGTGTTCTTTCTGACACAAAGCTCTCTGTATCTGATGTTTGATTCTTGTATCGAAAAGTAAGTAGGTTGCTTTGAGGGTTTCGTTTTTAAGGGGTCTTGTGTTGGTTCGGAGAAAAAAGCGGTGCCCTGGCCCTGACCCAACACAACCACCACGCCTGTGTTGTCACCTACTGCTACACCCTTCGTTGTACGTGTCTGGGAATAACAACGTCCACCAAGCAATATGAGAAAAAACGCAGTGCAGCACCGCTTTCGTACACCTCGCAAAGCGAGGTTCAACACTGCCTCATGAGCGGCTATCTACCAAAAGCAGACATGATACAGTGCGGGTCCCTCAGTAGTGTCCGCCAGATTCAACGGCACTATACCGGGCACCCGACACTATCTAGAGAATGAGGCAACATGAATATTCCATCAACGTCACTCGATTTCACCTGCTCTATACCGGGCAGTAGTGTCATTTAACACGCACTATTGAGGGGTCCCCTTCACCCCGCCCTCAAAAGCAAAGCAAATCTCACGCATGCGGTGCTTCCGGTTTTCTCACTTGAAATGCGGCTGGTTCACGCAGGTACCCATCCACCGCGCAACCGCCGGGGTCAGTCCCTCGGCGTGACCGATCATCTTGCAGCACACGGCCACGTCGGCGAGCGTGACCCGCTGTCCGGCCAGAAACGTGTTCTGTTCGAGGCGTTTTTCCAAAGCAGCCGTCGCGGCAGACACATCGCCGGCCTAGCAACAACCAACAGCGCAAGAGCCACGCGGTCGGAATGGTTGAGATACGTACACGCCCCGCTCCAAGTGTGAAACAACTGAAGGTTGTCGACCTCGGATGGAAGACGGTGCCTACGAGATGTCGTGCTTTGGTATGGGGGCAGACTCGACAGCAGCAGCGGCAACGATACCGGCCGACCGCAGACGATACTACTCTATTGAAACGTGGTACGTTTGGTGTCGCCCCTTTGGGAAAAGGATCTTGGAGGGGTGGGGCCGTGCCTCAAAATTTGGCCACGCTCTTCTCATCCAAACACCATCACCCCGGCCATCCGCCCGGCCACCTCCATGTGTCCTCTCCGCGCCCTTTTCCCCAATCCCCACCCCATCCACGAAGGAACGATTACCCATTGGTAATCGGTCCTATGGGAACAATGCTCGGTCCTCTCGAGGACGCCCGGTCGATGGTCTAACAGCGAAGGCATGCAAAAACGTGAGTACGCCCCCAACACCCAACCCCATCCGATCTTGCCTGCCGCGTTCTCCAGCCCCCTCCGACTACAGTACACTCGTCAACTACCCGCTCCCTCTCCCTTACGCGCGGGTGTCCGCACCTGCATGGTCGAAGCGAACTTGAGCCATTCGTCGACGAGGCTCCTCTCGGCATCTCCGTCTCCCGCAAGGAGGGCGGAAGGGTTCAGCCCACCGATGTGCCTGCGGAGGGACGATTGGGCGGGGGGGCGGGGCAGCCAACAAACCGGTGTAGTACCGGCAGAGGCCAATCGATCAGTCAACATTCATTAGCATACAGCAGCAGAACTAGAACTATGGAAAACATGGCATTCAAATCGTAGCTTCATACATGTGCCCGTCGTCGTACGCGTACATCACGCCCAACGTGTCTCGATAGGGGAGAAAAACGGACGGCGATGATGGTGTGGCATCGGCACGACCGGGGCCCTTCGAGCGCGTTGTGTTGTATGGGTCACCAGACTTTACTTGTGATTCGTTCTGCTTGTCCTGAATTCCTGCGCTTTATCTCCACCCGGCGAATTTCCGTCAAGCACAGGGTGCATGCATCACGGAGAGCTCGCGGAAGTTGGGGGGAATTCTTCTCTGCCTGCGACTTGCTTGGGGGAGCGGCGCCCTGCAACATCGCTGCTGCGGAGTTGCTGTACAAGCAAAAGGATGTGATGCGTGATGCGCCTCATTCGTACAACAAATGAAGTATCAACAACACCGACGTCGACGGCATATATACATGTACACTGCTGTTGTTTGATGTAGATGTTCTGATGGGGGGCGTTCTAAGCTGCACGTCGCGCCCAGCCTACTCTTTGCCTGTTGTGAAGACTGCTGTAGCGCATAATAGACTACCTGTTGGTCTCCCCTTCGGTACTGCTGTAGCCTACACGTCTACTGCTGTACACTACCATTACTTATGCCTTCCCGCCAAATTTTGACGGTGAATCCTTGCAGGAAGCCTCCCTGCAACAGAGAACAGAATGGATTTGTCGCAGCACTGCTGGTGAGACGAACGACTATTATGCAACGACCATTGGGGTATTCGATCTACAGTCGTTTGTCTCCATTGGAACGAGAGCTTCTTCAAGCCAACGGAACGCGTTGCACACTTTTGCCTCGGCGTCGTTGTACATACCGAGGCTGTCTCTGCCGCACAGCTAGCCTGTATGTGGCTGAAGCTACATGCCTGCATTGACGCGCAAGGAACACACAAAGCACCTCCTGCCACACGGCACGTTGCGCTCTCACCTCAGCACAGCCTCGGCCCCCTGCACATCTCCCGCATCGCCACCCAGCCGCAGAACAACGTCGGCGGCGGTGTCGTCCACAACTTCCGCGAGAGTCACGCCGGCGTACCTCCCGGCCACAAGGCACGCCTTTGCCGCAGCCGAACACTTCGCCGAAGCTCTGAGCTCCATGATGCTACGCTATATGCACTGGAGAGAGAGACAGAGAGAGAGAGTCCCGCTCAATCGACTGCGTGCTTCAGCAATGCAGCGTGCTTGATGTAGAACTCAGGACCCGTTCTGTATGGCTGGAGCGATAGCTTGCTGCTTGGGGAACGTGCGGCAGGCAGTGCTGTGAGAGTTGATTCGCCGCATACCCCGAATCATTCGCCGGTGCCCCGGTCCGCCAAATGATGCTGCTGTGCGGTGTGCGGCACACTCAACTCGCACGACCACGACTCAGACCAGAGCGATCATGCGACCCAGACCAGGAGTGATAGAGACAGCAGTTGTGCTTTGTTGTTTGGTTGGTGGTGTGGCGAGCTTCGCTACCCCCTCTCCATGCCGACAACGGCAACGCTGTCAACAACATCATCATGATCCCCTTCAACAGCAGCGGCGAGGAGCTACTACATGTACGCCATGTCGTACCACGCACTGCCGTGGTAGCGGTAACGGCAGCAGCAGCCGGATGGCCGGCACCGGAGATGACTCTCAGGTAGGTGCACTTTGAGTGATACGTTTGTGGGAAAGCTCTGGTCAAAGCTCCAAAAACACCCTCGGCACACATACCCCGAAACATAAAAGAACTGGCTTCCTACAGCAATATGCAACACATAGCATAGCAGCAGTAGCAGTGACAGATACATCCTTTGTACGGACGGTGTTGGCGGCAAGGAATCCGTGCGCCGTCAAAGGAAGATCGTCGGGTTATGGTTAAAACACGATGTCGAAAATCAACTGCCCCGCAATGCTGTGGTACATCAATATCAAATTTATGTCATGTCGTATCCATACCAGAGGTTGTGGTTTTAGTACTGGGTAGAGACTCGTGTAAATATACATCGAGTGCGCTTGTTGCAAAGTCGTTTTCCTGGTGCAGTAGCGCTCAACATCATCCGTCGATGCTATGTTGATTCCTGCACACAAGCAACATCGCTCCTTCACACGAGACACGCCAGGCATGAACGTACATCACTTTTCTGGTTGGACCGACGGTAGGGAAACCACCCGCAGCACTGCGCATGGTGTTCAATCATGAGGCAGGTCTACCTCTGCAGTCTCTCAAGGCTAAATGCACCGCCGGAGGAGATACATTGTTTGAGTGCGCATGATAACGGCCATTCCTGCCCGTGCACACCTGCGTGTTTGTAGTCGAATGGTGCCCAACGTGCTGGGTCTCAGCTGGAAAAAATGTTGTAGCAGAGGATGATATTCTCCCACCTCCTTGTACGACTTTTATAATTTTTTACATCATCGGACTTTGACAGGAACCTGCCACGGACCGCGTCGACATCGAGGGAATCGAGGCCAAGGGAGGCAAGGACGCCGCCGGAATATACGGTTTCGCCCGGGAGATCATCGAAAAGGAAGAGGCCTCGGCCCCCTTCCGAAGACTAAGACTCATCGGATACGCTGTGCCTGCCTTCGTAAGACCGGAATCAACACCCCATGAGTAGTTTAGTCTGTGCCATTTTTTTTTTTTTTTCACTTCAAATCAGCGCTCACAGCACTAGTGCCGTTTATTCCAACCCGTGGTCACACAGAAGAGCCTCTCTCTACCCTCCCCTCCTGCGGTACTTCGCCTTCAATTTTTAATGCGAGAAGAGTTCAGCACTCTCTTCCCTCTGTGTACACACGAACTAGCGCTATCCACTTGGCCAGGAGCGGAAGCGAGAGAAAAACTCACTTTGCAAGAAAAGCTCGCCTACGCCGGGATTCGAACCCCTGACCTGACCTCTAGAAGGTTACGAGGCTACCAACTAGACCACCGGGGCGACCGGCTATTGGGAGCAGACGGAACGCTCGTGTGCATACATACCTTCGCCGTGGAGACCGTTCGAGGGGTATCCCGCACGAGTCTTTTTTTGTTGCAGCAACCCGGCTTTGCACACATGATTGTCTTCCTCGGGGTACATGCACCCTCTGCTTTTTCGTCGGCCACGTGGCGCGATCCATTGTGGTCTCACCGTATCCACAACTGCTCCTTTTTCACACAGATTGCGACCCTCCTGGCACTGACAGATCGCTATCTTCTTGGCGGGCATCTCTCTGGGAGGCATGGCCGGTATTGACGAGTTCAAGGAGGTCAGCGAGAACCTTCCCAACCCGCTCATAGACGCTGGCGTTGTCGGTGCGGCGTTTTATCTCTGGGTGGAAGAGGTGGGTTTTACAACGGCAGTTGGAGAAAATTTCGTTGCCGAAACAAAATGTCTTGTATGCATGCTGCAGACAAGCTTTGCTTTCGTAGCGTTGCCTTCCGGGCTGGGTCTGTCTAGAAAATGCACTGCATCTTGTAAGAACAGTTGACCGTTGCTTTTGTACGCCTCAGGAGATGACGCGTCTTGTTTATATTTTCCTCTTCAAACCGACAGAGCAGGAGATCGGTGGCGATTTCTTTTCATCTGCACGGGCGCCGTGCTTGACCGAAAAGTTTGTAGAGATGGGGTTGATCGCTGTGTTTTCGGCCGCCGTCGCTGCACTGGCGAAGCGGGATGGTTGGCTGCTTATCGTCGACCCTCCTCTCCGCTTTGAGTACAGGTGAAAACGAAACGGTCGTCGTTAGCGTTGCTCAAGAAGGAATACGAAGAGAAATCCAAGGTGCCGAACAGAAGCAGTCGGCGGAAAAAGAAGGCCTTCGGGAAGAAAGCTGCCGGAAAGAAGCCTGCCGCGGCGACGAAAGAGCCGCCGTCATCGCCATCCGCAGCAGTCGAGACGACCGCTGCCGGTGCGACCGAGCAAGAAGTGGGCCCTGCTCCTGGGAGGGGCATGTTTGCAGGGGTAAAGGAGACGTTGGAGGCCGTCAACAAGCAGAGCTACTACCAAGCCCTGGCATTGAACAAAGAGCTCGAGGATAAAGGCGTCTTGCCGCCCTTGGAACGTACGCCAGGCCCTCCCGGCGGGGAGGAAGAGGTTGCTATTGCCGAGGAGCGGTCGGAGGCACCTGAGTCGGCAGCAGGGGCAACGGCTGTGCAGGGCGAGGCAGAGACTGTTGCTTCTCCTGCTGATGTTGCGTCGCAAGGCGGCGGGACGAAAAGACGAAAAAAGGGCAAAAAGGCCGGAAAGAAGGCGGGCAAGCGCAATAAGTAGAGCCCGTTGTGTCCCGTGTTCGCTTGCGTTTGGTGTTGTGTGATCTGATCCGTACGCACACGCGCCTATTCGACTCAAGACTTGGCTGGCATGACACGGTGGACCTGCATCCCAAGGCAGCCGTGATGCGTTTCAGTTATGAGGATTGTTGTAAGTTCGTGTGTTTTGCTCGAACGAGATCCTTGTTTGGACTTCATTGCCTTCGGGTGTCCTGAAATGTAACCTTAGGTTCCGCCGCTCACAATGATTCGCACTCGCCTCTCAACCCAAACGGGGGTAAACGAGGTCTTCGAAGATATGCGTACGATGTCTCTTGTGGGGACATGATGTGTCCTGCGCAGAAGCGTTTGCTGTCGGTGCAATAGCGCATTTTCCCGTAAGGGAAAGAGAAATGGCCGCCGAACACACGCGGAGCCCATGCTGCAGCCAAAGCGCCACTGATGGGCAAGGCGGACCTGTGCCCTGTTCTCCGCCCTTGGCAAGTCTCCTCAAAATTGCCGCTTTCAACGCCGTTACTATTGCCTGCCCTTCGAACACGCATCAAATAGGTTCATGTTTCTCTTGTAGCCTAGCTGAGATTTTGCCTCTCAACTGCACAAAATCCTCACCGAAGTCAATGTGAAGATGAGTTGCAAACAAATCTTCAGTGTCTCTTTAGTTCCCCAAACGCTGATAGGTGTGCGGAAGATACGTTGCGTGCGGAAAACGGCTCTCTCTGCAAAGCGCCGGCCTTCTCGGGCTTTTATTAGGGCTTGTCGTGCAAACAATCAAACCCGTACTGACGGAAAATGACACATGCTTTGGGCGGGTGACGACGAGGACGACTTCAAAGGTGCATCAGCACTTTTGCATGTCCCGTCCTCCCACACCATCCAGCGACACCAAGCACGTGATTTGATGGCCACCAAGGGGCATCCATCACCTCCAGAAGCACGTCTGCATTCTCCAGCACTCTTGCTAAAATAAACGTTGAGAGCAAAGCAATCGCCTCGCTCACGTGCCGGCCGGAATCTTCGCTTCAAGTCCTGCTCCTGGCAACTCTAACCGGTAGGCAAAATCTCGGACGCTTCTACCGGCCTCGCGCGCTTTCTCCTCATACTTGGTGAAAGGCCGCCATGAGGGGCGTTCCGCAGTCTCCCCTCCTACCCAACACGCCGACACCTCCGAAACAAGTCTAGCGCTGTCTCCGTTGCTCCCCGCCCGCTGTTGCTGCTGGGGCCCTCCACGCATGACATCGGCAATTTCCTCTCCCTGACGCTGCTCTTCCCGACGGACACCTCCAAGTTGTTGGAACCCCAGTTCCGTATCCTCTGCCGCTGCTGTTCCTGATGGCATTGTCGACGACGACGGCCGCGCGGTATTTGGCCGCTTCTCGGGCGTCCACGTCGACATGACCCGAACGGTGTGTTCGGCGTAGCCGTCTACATCGGTCGCCACGTGCAGGGTCCCGCCCGGTTGAAGCTTGGAGGCGAGCAGAGACAACAGGAGCGGCCGTACTAGTCGCCTGCGCGGAAAGCGAAGCGAGGCAAGAAGGTACGCGCTCAAAGAACCCGGCTTGTTGTCATGCGGAAGGGGTTCCTCACCAAATTGCGCAGCAGGGACCCAGGGGTGGCACTCCCGATGTGACAAAACGTCATCGTCCAACGTGGGTTCTACAGCTATGTTTTTCATTCACCCTTGGTGAGCAAAATAGCTAAATAGCGTAGAATGTACCCGCCTGAAACCAGGTTAGCTCATGAGCCGCGTATTGCCCTGTGCTAAGTCCAAGAGTACGGAGACGCACACATAATGCCCTATATTAAATGCGAAGCGAGATGCTGCAGGGCGTTGGCACGAAGGACAGGGCTCTTGGGTATGCAGACCGCATGATTTCGGTGTCTCGAGAGGCAAGCAAGAAACAAACAGACCATTAAGTACTCCGTTCCTAGAACATCTCTCCAGCAGGGCCCTTCCCTAACCCGCGGTGCGTGTCCCGTCGACGCTGCGAAACTCCGAAAAACGCAGTACCAGTTCGCAGGCTGGTCACACCGCGGCAAAGCGATTGACCATGTGGATGCCACGAAATGCAAGATTTCAGGGGGAGAGAACATGTTCCCTATGAACCCTGCTCTCTACTTGAGCCGCGGAAGGAATGGAAAGAGACGAGGTTGGCGAGGAACAACGCACGGCACGAGCGGACAAAATTCTCGCCTCTCCGTATCCCTGTCCTGAGGAAACGGATCCGGGAAGAAAATGCAGCACGAACTCAGGCTCCCGTCTTCGATGTGGTCGGCAAGGGCCGTTATCGCGTCCCCTTGGGCGATCTTCACGTTCGGCAGCCCTTCCGCCTCTAGCCGCGCCAATGCCGCGGCTACGCCAGGCTTGTGCACCTGCTCCAGCAACAGCGAAAGTTTCATAATAACCATTTCTCAGTGGAAGCACGGGGTGCATGTGTCCAAAGGACAGCATTGTTACGCAATATTGACAGATGGGTCGGTGCACGGGACGTCGGAGTTTGGTGGAGATCATGCCGATTTTGAAGCAGTTTATGGATGCACCAATACACTGCTGAGTTTGGAAAGGTCATTTTCAAATCGGCGATGGTAGCCTACCACAATATAAAAACCGTGTCGCCCCGTGGTAGTCTGACCTACCCGCGTTTATGCACTACGCTCTACGAATATTTGTCTGCTGGATTGGAACCCTGCATATCCAGCCACCGTCACCTCTATGCCAACGAAGTTCTCCTTGGGGCGCATGGCTGCCATTTCAACCAAGCTTTCCCCCGAGCCGAACCCAATGTCGAACGTAACCGCTGCACCGGTCTCAGCCGCGAATATCTGGTCGAAATCCCATCTGACGCAAGAATTAACGGACCGTGCATACAAGTGTGTACCAGGTAGTTTTCTTCATGTTAAAGTGTGATGATGTGACAGGTTGCTGAACACGGGTTTGCCGGTAAGCTCAGATCGAGTAAAAGTTGGGTTTATTATTGATGGAATATGGCCGATTGCGAGAATTTTTGAATTCAAACCTCAGATTTTCAACCAGGGTGTGACAAGCGTTTGATGGTCGAAGTTGGTATGCAAGCATGGGCGGCAGAGGGGAGAAGGCGCGACCTTTAGCCTTGGACTTCTCGAGGGAGGGGAGGTCACAATATCGAGCTCTTTTGACAGAATGTAGACTCGGCGATATAGAACCCATCGGTCATGACTCGGGTTCCTCAAGAATGACCGCATTCTTGCCGAGACCAACCGGATACCAACTACCTGTGCAGGCTTCCGTACTCGCATGTTGATACCAAACCGAGCGATCGATTGGTCAAACTTCGTACGCACGGTGAACGATACAAAGGTATACCCGGGTACGTACTTGAATAGAATACTTGTGGACAGCATGGAAATGAGCCTAGCTGATTGGTTGATGCCCCCAAATTCATCTTGCCGTGTCAAAAAAAAACGTTTTTTTGTGGTTGTTTTGTCTTCACTTCAAATCAGCACTCACAGCACTAGTGCCGTTTACTCCAACCCGTGGTCACACAGAAGAGCCCCTCTCTACCCTCCCCTCCTGCGGCACGTTGCCTTCGATTTTGAATGCGAGAAGAGTTCAGCACTCTCTTCCCTCTGTGTACACACGAACTAGCGCTATCCACTAGGCCAGGAGCGGAAGCGAGAGAAAAGCTCACTTTGCAAGAACAAGAAAAGCTCGCTTACGCCGGGATTCGAACCCCTGACCTGACTTTTGAAGGTTTCGAGGATACCAACTAGACCACCGGGGCGACCGGATCCCCTTGACGGATTAGGAGTAACCGGTACCCCGCCCCGGCTGGTTCCGAATTGTCGCTGAAAATTGTTCCTTGGATTTTCTGAAATGTGCCCGAACCATTAATAGACAAGTCAGCGCTGACGAGTCGAGACTACTGTTTTCATTTCGTCTTCGATTAACCCAGAAAAACCCTTACCCCATCTCCGTGCGGATGATCGCTAGCTGTAATCAGTACTGCTGTAAATGTGAAGCAACAGCAGTCAAATGGCATACAATAAGATGAAGTACTTCTATCTGGGATGGGTGAGCGTCGGAAATCTGTGGTGCGTGTTCAGCCAAACCCTGCATGATGTTGATACTTGTACGTATCTCACCACTCCCTCTCTCTGTACCCCACATTTGTATTGACTCTCACATTGGAATAAGGCTCGTTTCAGTCGGCGTGTCAACCATGCCGAGTTCAACCATACGGAGCGTGTCTCGGATGTCGGCCTGTCGTCGCCAAGATTTGTTTGGAGCTGGAAGATTCGTGATTTTGGCGCCCTTTGGTTGGAGCGGAAAAGTGGTTTCTTGTGTGGAGAAAATGGCCGATGGCAGCGTCCCATTTTCCGTCAGGTCAGGGTACGTTGTACCACAGTTTCCAGAAACCATGGGTGCATGTTCCCAGAACATGGCATCAAGCAAACATATGCATAGCTCGCGCATCAATGTCGGTTTGGCCGTAGCCGCCGTCATCGTGACATCATCGAACTCTGTTCGTTCAGTGCCTGCTCTTTCCTACACTTCACAGCTTCACAGACAAAGACGATCTGCACGTCGGTGTGTGTCGCGCGTGTCGTCGGCGAGCACAACTTCTTAGAGAGTTTATGCATAACCTCACAGAAAGACTAGCCGTTCCCGAGATAATATAACCACGCAGTTGAAAGACAACTTCTTGCTATGTGAGGTGCGGGCGGACGCATGTATTTGGCTTGCCGTGGGAACTGGTGCTGTGTTGTTGTTGTTTTGTTTCTCTGACATGAGCTCTATAGTCCACAAAAATGGGGAGCCCGTGGTCGCAAAACCCGGTACATACGACGCCGCGGGGAAACACAACAAGAATAGAGAACAAACCACTCGGAAAAAGAAAACAAAATGATAGAAAGAAAAGAACAGCTACCGCACCGACCGGTCGAGAAAAGGAGCCCTAGGAAACCGATCAAAATAAAACAAAACAAAAAAAAGGCGCAAATAAAAAGGGGAAAAGGAGCGCTTCCCACACCCGCCTAAAAAAAATCAAAAGGGTACCGTACCAGCATCAGGCACTACGCACCAGGGTTGTGTGTGCGAACACAAATACTCAAAGGCTGCCATCCACCAACCAAAAAACTATTTCCCCAGTTATTCAACTTGGACGATTTGGCGGCGGTTTCTTTCTCTCCCAAAGCAAGGAGATCGTGTTGCGCTCTCAGCGGCACACACTCCTAAAAAAAAAAAAAAACTACCTCCAGCTTCCACAGAAATGAAGCCACCTACTAAAACCCTGCTGTAACATGCAGCAGCAGTAGACAGCGTGCATCAAGATAGGTTCACCTTCTTTCGAAGTCCATGACTAGCCCGTACTTCGGCCACAGCTCGCGGAGCGTTCTCCTCTGACCTCGGGTAATGGGCGCCTGTCTCCTCCTGAAAGACCTAGACTTTCGTGCAGCCTTTCGCTCATGGCGAGGCATTGCCAGCATTCCATCACGACCTTTTGATGTCGCGCGGGTCGTTGGCACATTGTCGCTGCCCGACGGGGAGCAGCAGCTGACAAGATGCCATCCAGCGACGTGGAATCGAGGCCCTGCGAAAGTAAGCTGGCCAATGCTCGCGATAGACGTCACTCGTGGGTGAACTCTCATCAGGTGCAGAGGTAGAGAAGCACGGCCGAAGAATCTACATGCACAGGGCCGAGGGGGATCCAAGCAACGAGCAACGCAACGAGCAACGAGCAACAGGGTTAACAGGGCCTCCAAATTGGTTTGGAACTCGGAACCTTTTAACCTCTTTTTTTTTTCTTTTTTTAGAACCGCCCCCGCGTCCCCGCGTGTTCTCCTTCTCATTTTTTTGCTGGTCGTGTTTTCCCCGCCTATTAAAAAAAAACACGTGAATAGGCGCGTCCCTCTCTGAGGCCACTCCACGTTCTCGAACTTCCCCAGGCTCGTGTCTCAGTCCAACCAACCGGTGGCGACCGCTCAATCCCTCCACCACACGTGCTCCTGGGCCTGTTCGAACGTGCTCGACCGCTTCTCTCGCCCGCCGCCGACGCGACAGCGCACCGCCAACAGTGTGAGCGACCAATAGAGAGAAGTTAGAAGAAGCTCTTTGTTCAACTCGCACAACCCATCCGGCGGCGGCATCGCGGCAGCGGAGGTGACCCAAGAGGTAGCTCGGGAAGAGGGACCAGCAGCCACCATGTCAGAGAAGGAACAGCCTCCGATGATGGACCAGAAACTGTGCGTCGCCGGCTGCGGCTTCTTCGGGTGAGTGCGCGTGCTCGTCGCGTTAATTCCCTCCCCCAGCGCGTGCGTGTGTTTTCTGGAGAAGCCCTCAATGTTGGTGGGTCATTGTTGTGTTCACCTCACCTATATCGTTCTTTCCGGCGGGGTGCTCACGCTGCTTGCCCCGCGCTGCGGCAGACGGCGAATCGCCTCGATCTCTCGACCGATGCCGCCGCCGGCGGTATTGTTCCGTACACGAAAGAACGACCTCGCAGCCATGTCCTCGCCCCCCGGCCCCCGACCGACCCTCTTTTTTTTGCGAACAACGGTAAATTAGGGTGTTGTTGTCTTTTCGTTGATGCCTGGCTGCTCATCAGTTTCCGCTCTTCAACCCCACACACCAAAGCATTTATCGACTCTTTTGGCGGAGGCGTGGAGAGGGGGGAGGTATAGATATGCTGGGCTGCTACATGGACCATGTTAGGGTAGAAAGGTGGGCGATATTCTCTCCGTGTGCTGCTGCTGCTGCTGCTGCTGCTGCAGCTGCTGCCTCTCTCTTCGCGTTATCTCCAATTTCAGCCAACCTGTGACCACTTTCTTCGGCCCTCCCAAAAAAAAAAGTATCACCCCGTTGTCGATCTTTGTGGCTGCCACGTTCGTCCTGTGCTCGCAGATCCTCGCAGACCTCGCAGATGTGCTCAAAGTGCTGGAAGGACTCGATGTCCAAGTCTATGCTAGGGGCGGAGGGAAAGAAAGAGAACGGTGGTGAGTTTAATGTCGCGCGCCACACGGGCGGGGTCGGAAAATGGCAAGTAGAGAGAGAAGCGGAGGACCTGCGAAAATTCGTGCTCTCTTCTTTCAGGTGTCGGGCGCCGTCGGTAGGTGTGTAGGGTTCGCGCAAATATCACGCACCCCGCGTCACCCGCCGTTTGACGCGCGTGTAATGGTTTGTTGGCGTAATTTTCGCGGTCCGGCGTTAGATATTAGCGTAGGAAAAAGCGAACTGTTCATTACAAACAATGCACAAACCCGACACGCCCCATGTTTGGGACACAAAGCTGCAGCAGCAGCAGCAGCAGTCAGGTGTCCCTTGTTTCGTGGGTCAAAAATATTTTCCCGAAACTGCGGACGGAGTTCAAGAAGGTTCAGTCCGTGGTCTGTAGGAGCTGCGAATTCAGAGACGCATGTGGGATCGTCGCCACAAAAGCGCATGAGCTCGTGGCTCGTGGCCACGTAATGTCGCCGAAATGTGTGTATACGTTCTCTTGTCCTCCTGGCTCGGGCTTTCGGGGTTTTCGTTTCAGCAGTCTCTGCATTATGTATTTACGTATTTACCCTCTACCTTGGTAGATCGCGTAGCAAATTGTGTAGCTCCACAAGACATTCAGATTAAAAATATACATACGACATATAATTCAGAACAGAGCGGAGAGCGGCTGCGGGGCGGGTGCTCGCCCACACAACGGATGTGCCGCCTACATACCCACTTCCTTGGCGGGGTGGGTAACAAGGAGTCACACTTATGCCTGTTACCCCTGACGTTGTTCACAGCGAACAGCCTGTGTGGTTGGCTGGAAAGGCTACCACGCGTTGCTGAGCTGCTTGGTTACATGGGCCTGGTTGATCAGTAACGACCTACAATGCTCGTGGGCTACACTCCGTCATCCATTGTAAAACCCCTGCTGGCTCAAGCAGTTATATCGGCTCCATTTAGAGCTCGCCTGTTGTGGCCCATACGAAGCCCAGCCATGCATAGTAGTCCATGCGTGTTATATACTTGTCAGCAAGAGTATTTTCCTTTCCGGCGAGTACATGCACGTGGATAGGCAGCGGTGGCGTGAAGTACGAAGCAAGGTTGTTGGTGTGCTTGGCCGCTCGCTCTTGGGGTACAGGGGGTACATGTGCACGGAGCTGCTTGTAGCCCCTGCCTCCCCTCGTGTATCCGGTTCTTGAAAGCATGAGAACTGCTTTGCGTATGAACGCACGGCTGATTCCGAATCGAAACGAAGGCATATTTCGGCATGTGTCCCACGTTCGACTGCTCTCTCCAATCGTACGTGCAGCTTCTGGAAAGGAGGCAGTTTGTAGGATTGGTGTGTGAGTTGAACATTCCGAGAGCGTCAAACAATTCCTGAACGACCACGATGTTTACAGCTGAAGTTCTGCACATGACGCACATGCAACGGTGCGGGACGGCGAGTTGGAGGAGAGATCACCCAATCCAACGCAGACAGTACTAGTGGGCCCGTTTTATTTTTTTTATGATTTCGCCTCAACGTCGATGAACTTCGGCACCGCAGTGGTGTGGTACAGTTGTGGCATTCACTTTCTTGCGGCTGTACATACATACATGTATGCTGTCTGTATCGCTTTCATAAGTTTTTAGTTGTTTCATGGGTCGGCTGAACATTTTTACCTCCAAGGTCTGTTCAGAAACAAGGAGGGCACCCCATGGGTAGCACTCAAACTTACGCCTGGGAGCACAATCTTGCGTATATGCCCTCGTTACACATGAAAGACGTGGCGTTTCTATGACAGCACGCTGGCACTGACGTCTTTTGCCATTGGTCAGCCGGTTAACACGGTCGGTGCTATTTAGTGTTGAAACACAGACGCAAGGCGAACGCTCCGGGCTTTACTCACCCATTCATTTCTCAAGAAATACACATCACGTCTGCCGGGCGTACCCCTGGCCTGTTGTTGCGCCACTACTTGGTACTGCGAAGAGCAGCAAGGGTTGAGCCACTAGCGTCTGCGTTGTTTTAGCCGATGAAGGGTGCATGCATGATTGTAATGGCCTTGATCTTGTGTGTGGCGTGTTTGGCGCGGGCTGTTGAAGTCAAGCATTGACAGCACTGCCGAATAAATGAGTACGAGGTAGAAAAATATAAGGCTGATACTGCGGAGCCACCCCCGAACATTCATTCGAGTCCTCCACCTCTGGTAGGGGACCCTACCTTGTAGCAGATCATCTGCCTCCCTCC